ACTTTGTGCAGACAACCATGACTAGATATATGTGTGGCCCCACGTCAAAAGCCAAACCCTAAAATTAAAAATCTTGTGTTCGCACCATACCTTAAAAATTTAACGAGATCGATTGAATTTTTTTAGATGACTTAATATGATTACTGGCTACTTTTGTGTAGACCAGCGTGGCTAGATATATAAGTGGGCCCTGCATCGAAAGTTGGACCCTAAAATTGAAAACCTCGCGTTCACACCTTAAAATTTTAGCGGGGTCGTCCGAAATCTTTGGAGATGACTTAATACGATTGCCCACTATTTTATGTAAACCAGTGTGACTAGGGCTCTGTTCGCTTCTCTTATAATCCGTCTTTTTCGGCTTTTTCAGCCGGAACAATATTTTTCTCTTACAACAAATCAGCCGCAACAGTGTTTTGGCTTATTTTTTCAGCGAAGCGAACGGGGCCTAGATATATATGTCCGCCCTATGCATAAAGCCAGACCCTAAAATTAAAAATCTCGCTTTCAAACTGTACCTTAAAAGTTTAGCGAGATTGACTCATCTTTTTTGGAGATGGCTTAATAAGATTGCCCGCTACTTTATGTAGACCAGTGTGACTAGATATATATGGGGCCCACGTCGAAAGCCAAACCCTAAAATTAAAAACCTCGAATTCACACCTTAAAATTTTAGCAAAAACGACTGAAATTTTTAGAAACGACTTCATATGATTGCCCACTACACTGTACAAATCAGTTTGACTAGATATATATGTGAGCCCTGTAACACCCTCGGTGTTATATTGTAATGTTTTTGCTAAAACACTGCATTAGCCTCATGCTTGTTTGTACATGTGTGTGATTTGGAGTATAAGTCGATATACGGCATTTGAAACGTTCATCCGAAACGGAAAATAAATGTTAAGTTTCCTGTCACTTTATATTGTTTAGTATTCTAAACGGATTTTTATTAAATAAAAATGATGTAGATCGTGTATGTGAACTTTAATAAAATTTGTAGGACGTACTCAGTAGTCGACAATGAAGCAGGTAGCTCGGAATTGAATTCGACGCGTAATCGTGGCACGCCACGTCACCTATGTCGAACTATGTTGGGCTGGCCGCGGTCACCTCTGTTGCCTCGGTTGCCTGCCACCGCACGCTTGTGCACTACGCACGAGTCCTTTCAGCTCTGCGCTCGCGTGGGTCGACCGCGCGGACAATCGCCTGGGCACGTCTCAATGTTTCCCGTCGTCATGTGCACGCGTACCTTGCGTTAATGACCGTGGATGTGCCAACGCCTCTGTCTCCGCTGTCGCCATGACCGACGGGACCTCTCGTTTTCAATTCGCCGTGATCCGTAGCGCGTTAATGAAATTAAATCGCGTCCGCTGCGGCTCCGCTAGAACAACCAATGCTGATCGATTGACACCACCTCGCCGATCGTGGCGTCTCACCGTGCTCCAATTTTGGATTAAATCGCTCACTTTGCTCCATAAGACCGAGGTGGTGGTGCGCATAGACGACATGCCGCACAACCATAGCTTGCCATTTTTCAATCCACCGCACCGCTAGCTTCTCCTCCAAATTTGCTCATCGTGACCGCCCACTTCATTCAAAGCTCCACCGCCATTTTGCGTCTTCTTCGTGGCGGCGGAACCTCGCCCGGCAGGCGAGCGAAAGCGGCGACGGCGGATGCGTTACTATTTATATTAGCTTGTCGGCGTCGGCGTGACGTCACCCCTATGTCTGCGTGTTTGTGGCGCTTTTCATGTAGGAAAATAAAAAGCCATAATACGTTGAAATCGCCTCTGGGGGGCGCCATTGGCTGGGCTGGCCTTTCGCTGCCATTGCCGCCGCATTGCCACATTGCCATGCACCAAGGCGCCCCAGCCGCCAGGCCGCTTTGCCGTGGCATGCGATCGACCCATTCTTTGCCATTCTTCTTGGCAGCCAGCGTGCCCTCTCGCTTTCATTCGCTTCTGCCAGCGTCTGCAGCGTCTGCGTTCTTTGAGCTGCGCTGTCACGTCCATGCTTGCCCTATTTGGCAGCGCCCACTTTCTTTGGCTGCGTCGGACCATGTGGGCCATGAGTGAGGTTTCGTTTTCTTATTTCCAAATAAATTTACTCTTATTCAATTCGGTTTCAAGCTAAACTTGATAATTAGTAGTAAATTGCATGGTTGTCCAAAAATAGTGAAACCAAGTTTGTTAGGTTCACAAAAATGCCATCTACACATTAGTACAGTTAGTTCACCATTAACTGTTAGGATGGTAGGCTCATAGGATTAAAGTAGAGAACTTAGCGGTATATCGATCTTTAATTGCAGGATTTGTTGTGGTAAACCGGTAATAATTTTAGCTTCGAATTGTTACGGTAGGGTCCTTAGACCTTTACTTACTTGTCAAAAATAGGTAGCCTAGTACCGTGGTCGATATCCATAGCTTAGTAGCTAAGTCAATGTACTTTTATTTTAAGAGTCATTGTTGTTATATTCCTAAGCATTGCATCATCATTTCATGCATGTAGATCACGAGTGGTAGACTTCGTGCCCTGTCGTCGAGCCGAATGCTGACGAGGTGATCGAGGAGTACGAGGAGGAGATCTTCACACGGGAGGAAGCCCAGGAGCTTGTTGGTGCCGACTTTCTTGACCCCTAAGACACTGCTCAAGGCAAGCCCCTGCATAACCCCTATTTTAAATGATCACCGAATATATTTATATGATATGCATTTACGTTACAGGGCATTTTATGGAAACTACATGCATAGATATATCCACCATGAGTCCTACTAGTGCAGGTTGAGTAGCTGCTATGCTCAGGATGTCGGTAGCGTGAGTAACCTGCCGTTACTCGCAAATAGGTGATTACACTATGATATCATGATGAAATAATGGAAAGGAAAAAAGGTGACCGGACAGGGATGTGGATTTGGTACCGGTGGGTGTGAGGGGTTGTGTCCTGCGGCCAATAGGGCATAGCCCGGTTACACTTTTCCCCTTCCTGTGTCGATTAAGGACCGGTCGTTGCATATGACTCTAGGCAAGTCACAGACCATTGTCCCGAGCACATACTTGGGTATGGGCGCAGGGAAGACTTGCTGCTCTCTTGTCGTGGATCCGGCTCTTTCCAGACCGACTGATGGGAAGATGAGGTGGTGGAGGTCCTTGCGCCGCACTGAGTCCGGGATTCAGAGGCGGAGGCTTGGAGTCCAAGTTTGGACGGGGACCTGGACACCCGGGACAGGAGAGTGGTGGGTTAGTCCTGCTTGTGCCTAGGGTACAAGCGGGGCGTGTGTCTTCGGGGCACCCAGCTGGGCACATTGATTCGCGAATCGCCGGGTTATCCGGTACGGCTTGTCTGCGGTTTAGCACCGTAGTAAGAACTGGAAGTGGAAAAGGAGAAGGAACAGTAACGATTGCTCAACTCTTGCTTGAAAGTAGCACAGGTGCTTATATAGATTGACTAGATAAAAACTTAATACGGCTGATGATAATAATGTATCAATAAGGACCCACTATTAGTTCTGCTTTTTGCTAAAAGACAACCAGCAAACCATAAAGCCTAGCATATTCCTTGGAGTCGGGAAAGTATTCCCACTGTCGGATAAGTCTTGCGAGTACATTGTGTACTCAGGATTTATTTACCCCTGTTGCAGGTGACGCTTGAGGAGTTCCTTGTGTGGAGGATCCATCTGGTGGGCTCAGACGGAATCCTCGTTATCTTATCGCTAGATGTTATCTTTTAATATTCCGCTGTTTATCATTCCGCACTCTATATTTGGTATTGTAATAATGTACTTTTCAAGAAACTCTAATGTATGAGATAGACTTGTGTTGTAACTCGTTTTTATTATTGGATCCTTGGGAAAATGTGGATCTTTCGGGTTCTCCCTTGGGGTGTGCTCGACGGACACCGCTCGCTGTAGTTACTTTCGAGGTGCTTAGTGTCTGATGGAAGACAAGCGCCTTCGTAAGTACGCTCCCCATGTTATAAACTTAAAAGTATACATGGTCGATCTCTCAAGTAAGTCCACATAAATCCGATAGACACTGGACTTTTTCATTTTTGTGCAGCAGATGTTGGATTTTGTTGGATCAAATGAGCATGGACACATTCAAACCCAAATAGATCCCATGCAAGTGCATCCAGAGCAACTAAAGTCTATAAGTAGACTTTGGATTATCCAAACCACTCCACCTCTATCAATCTGCTATCCCGCTTGTGCGCGCGCGCAGGCGCTCTGTTTCTTCTTCACAGGGGAAACCGAGCAATGACGTGGCAGGTGCTGCTCCCTCCTTTTTTTTAAAATATATCCGGCGGGTACTAAGTCAAACATTTCTAATTTTAACTATCATATCAATTTTAAAAATATAGTGATTAACAATGTAAGATTTATATTTTTAAACTCTATTCCTTCTAACACAATGATATGCACACTCGGCGTATTCAAGAAAAAAATATAAAAAATAATTTCATAATACATTGATCATGGGATGAGGGTTGGATCTCCATATGTGTTTTTGATTGGTATCTGTTCCGGAACGATCTTGCATGTCTAATGTTAATGGATTAATCATTGGACTCGACGTAAGGACTGTACTCTCTTTGGTGCTACTCTCTTTGGTGCTCAACAAAGCTATAGCTATGTAGAGCATTGGTTACATTGAGGAGAGCCACTAGGAAAACGATGAATTTTTTTTTTTTGGAGAGAGTATTGTATCTTTTCAATTTTAGGCCTTTTAGGAATGTAACCTTTACTTATAGGTAGACTGCCGTATGCGCGCGTACAGCCTTTTGTATGCGGCACCCACGTATGACCGGCAATCGACTTCCGAGTTTCGCTTGCGTCGCTCACTACTCGCTCGACACATTGAGACGACGCATGTGAGGCCAGCATTTCTCGGCGTGCCGTTGTCTGCGTGTCGCTACCCTTCGCCGCCCCTGGCCTGCTGCTGCGTGTCGTGTCAGGCTGTCAGCTAGCTTGGGGGCGCAGGGCAGTGGAGCACTACGGCCGGCCATGGCCGCCGCGGCGATTACACCTCAGTGCCACCGGCCGTGGCAGCTGGTCGTCCCAGCGAGAGCGAGCGCGAGAGCGAGCCGCTGCACGGGTCGCCCAACCGCAGCCGCAGGAATCGGAGTTGGTTGTGCGCCGAACGCATGGACGGGTCCAGATGCTGGGCGCGCCGTGAGGGCCAGGGCTGGCGCGGCCGAGGCGCGGCCGTCGTCGTCGCCGGACGCCGTGACCTACAGCGCGAGCATCTCCACCGACACTCCCCTCCACGAACCTCCCGGGGTAAGCCACCTACCATCTATAACAATATCTGCGAGTGCGGCCATGGATGTGGATTGGGGCGAGAACTGAAGCTAGCCATCTATAACAATATCTGAGAGTGCGGCCATGGATGTGGATTGGGGCGAGAACTGAAGCTGGCCCGGACGGCCTCGTGCGCGCCCGTGCAGGTCTCCTTCGACGAGTACCTCCAGGACCGCGTGCGCGTGTTCCGCGCCATGTTCCCCGACGAGAGCAGGAGCCAGCGGGTCGGCGATGTACGTAACCACCACCTCACGCGCCCCCTCCTGTCTATTTCTTCAGCTCGCCCGGCGAAACCTATCGGTTTTGGGTTCTGCAGGGGGAATGGCGGGTCCAGATGCTGCCGCTGCAGTTCCTCCTCCTCACCGTGCGCCCCGTCGTCGTCATGCAGCTGCGACACCGCGCCGGCGGGCTCGACCTCCGAGTCGTGCGTATAGCTTGACTAGCCACGGCTTACCAGAATTCTTCCTTCTTTCCTTCGTGTACCGGCACCTACGACTGCGAGTGGTGGTGATCGATGCGCCTTTTACTTTTACAGACGGAGTGGGAGCTGAGGGGGCTGGACGTCAGCTACGCGCCCTCTAGCTTCGACCTCGGCGTGAGCGGGTCGCTGTACGCTGACCGGAGCCGGAGCCGGAGCCATGGGTGCCGGATGAGGGGCCACCTGAAGATCGCCATCACCTGCGTCCTGCCGCCGCCCCTGCGCCTCGTGCCAGAGTCTGTCCTGCGCGGCGTCGCCGAATCGGTACCTAGTTCTCGCCAGGCATCCAAAATAGCACTCCTCCAGTTCCTGAATTCTGGAGCCAAGTAATGCAATGCAGGTTCTGTCGAGGCTGGCGGAGAAGATGAAGCGGGACGTGGACGTCGGCCTCATCGCCGACTTCAGGAGGTTTCACCGGGAGAAGGCGGCAGCGTCCAGGGCCACGCCGACGCTGGACGCGACGGCATCGGGCAGAGACCAAGCCTCTGAAAGCTAGAGTCGCTGACGATCGGGCAGAGACCAAGCCTCTGAAAGCTAGAGTACATGGAGAGGCGTATGTGTACAACGTGATCATTTACATCTGGTTTCTGCTATACAGGAACTAATCTGAGACCAGAACACACGGAAACACGGCGTTGTCCAGTCCACTGTCTACATATGAATCGATCTGTGTAGCATCTTATGTAATCTCCCATCCCAGCACATCCAATGCGACCCTGACATGTACACCAACACTGCCACACGAGAGCGACCTACCCAAGAACAAAAAACATAATAAGCTAGCGCTCTACTAGCAAGCACAGCCTCTCATCGCCGCCGCTGATGGTCAGAGGAAGAAGAGCGGCAACGCCAGCAGCAGGGCGCAGATCGCCCACCGGGCTCTCGGTGCCGTCCAGAGGGATCAGGGTGTTGGAGGGGCTCCCGATGCCCGGCGTGAACGTTGACGGCGGGGAGAGGCCGCTGGGGGCGCTCGCGGCCGGCGTGCTGCCTCCTGCCATGGAGCTGCATGCCAACAAAAGAAATGTTACGTGTTACAAGCTGGTGGACGTTTCTGACTGACACGTATGGTGTCTTCACCTTCCAGTGAAGACGCACTACCCCGAGCCTGAAATGAGAACAATTCAGATGAAAAGATCAGAGGTCTGATTCAGACAATTCCCATCAAATTTAATGAAACTGAATCTCGGAACATTGAACCTGACTGAACCTTGACAACGACGAGGACATACTTTCTCTTGCAATTGCAAGGAACATTTCATATTGACAGGTAACAAACAGTAGACTTACTGGGATCAGCGGTGGTGGTCGCGGCCGTGCCGTTGAAGTAGCAGGTGGCGCCGGTAGCAAAGTTTTTCTGGTAGTAGTCGTTGTAGGCGTAGGACGCTAGCGCCTCCAGGTCGTTCTGCTTGTAGCACGGCCCACCGGGCTGGATGGGCGCGCAGTTCGCTTGGCCCGGCCCGCACGCCCAGTTCAGTCCCACCTGCAGCGCCCATAGATGGCCAACGGGCCGGCACGGCACGCCGTGCCTCTCGGGCCGTGCCTCACAGGGCCACGGGCCTGGCCTTCAGCCCAGGCACGGCCCCGATTTCCGTGCCGGGCCGGCCCGAGAAGCACGGCCATTTTCACAGGCCATGCCAGCCCGAGGCCCACTGAGTCGCCGGGAGCAGGCAGGGTCGCCGGGACGCAGGGGGTGTGGAGGAGCGGCAGGGGCTCGAGGCCAGCCACCACGCGGGGGCCTTGGAGGAGGAGGGCGGCTACCGGCGTGCTCGAGGCCGGCGCGTGCTCCGCGGCTGCGTGGGGAGGCGAGGAGGTGGCCGCCGGATCTGCCCGCCCACGCTCCTAGCAGCCGCCGAGGAGAGAGAGGAGGGAGGGGCGGGAGGCAGGATCTGGGGTGGAGGCGCCGCGCCAGGGTCGAGGCAAGGGTGGGGAGCCGGATCCATGGTGGAAACCCAGTGTGGCAGACTGTGGTGGCGGGATCGAGGAAGGAGGCAGCGCGAGGCCGAAGATGGCAGTGGCCGCCGCCCGCCGACGAGCTTGTCTTGGCACCGGATCTGCGTCGGGGCGGAGCTCGAGGACGGCATGCTCGCTCCCGTAGTGCGTCACTCGAGGAGAGGGAGGGGCAGGGGGCGTCGGCGTCCGCGCACAGGCCGTCATTCTTCACGAGAGGTAGTGGTCGTACAGGAGCCGGGGACGCCGAGGAGAGAGGAGGAGGCATCCTGACTCCCGGTCCCTGCGTCCCTCTTTTGCCTCGCCCGAACGCCATCTACAGCTCTAGGGTTTCTGCAGTGAGGAGAGCCGCCAGCACTGTGCCCGCTTATATATGAGGGGGGAGGCGGGCCGGGGACCGCGGGGAGCGCGTGGGCCGCGCTGGGCCGTGGGGAGGGGAGGAGGAGTGAGGAGGGGGAGGGGGGAGGCCGGGCCGATCGTTGAAGGCCGGGCCGTGCCGTGCCAGCCCACGGGCCTGAGCAGCGGCCCAGGCACGGCCTGTTCCCTCGGGTCGTGCCAGCCTGGGCCCGCTCGCCACCGGGCGGGGCCATGCTTGGGCCGGGCCAAAAAAATGGGCCTCGTGTCGGGCCGACGGGCTCGGGCTGCATGGCCATATATAGCAGCGCCCTTGGGTCCGCACCCGGCTTCGCCACACAGAACATACTGGTGGACAGCGACCTCCTCTTGCTGCCGTCCTCTGAGTCTGGATCGACGGTGGCTTCAGCATGGCTGCCTGCACATTGTAGGAACAGAGCACGTTGTGAAGTTGCAACAAATGAAGAAACTGGGGGCTGGGGTTTGAGCTACTGCAGAAAAAATCAGAGCCAAGAGCGTTCTAGTCGACAACACCACACTCATGCAAAACCTACAGACTCCACGTACATATGAAATAATGAAAATATATCTCTATTTGCATATAAGTGGTGGTGAACTACACTTGCTCAAGGAAAAAGGGTAAAAAAGAAGTACCGGAGATCCGCACACACAAAGAGCATTTTCACTGATGTAAGACTACATGAAAGTGATATGCTCCGAGCTCTGTTCGCTTGCTCGTATACGATCGTGGATTATAAGCTGGAATAGTATTTTTTTCTCACACCAAATCAGCCAGCAGTAAATAATCCACGATCATTTACGACCTGCCGAACAGGCTGCCATATTTCTCTTTCTAATCCTTGGTTTTTGGTAGGATGAGAAAATATCTCTCTCCAACAACTTCTAATCATTCCTCCTAAACTTTAGGCACTTGGATCCCCGTCGTGCGTAACTTTGCGCGGAGTCGGGGTCGCGCGGATACACGCGTAATCATTGGACAATTAAAGGTGGAAGGGCGAAAAAAGAATAAATATTATGAAAGGGTTCCAGATACAAATGTACAAGAGAGAAAGAATATATAAAATTGGTTAAAATAATTTAGAAATAGTATAGGATTCCTAATGTAAAATTATTTTCTATATTTTAGGAGTGAATTATTAGAAATTATTGGAGATGTCCTTCTTTTTTTCTTCCAATATATTTTTAGGAGTTGGGAAACATGTCCTTCTTTTTTTTCTCCCAATATATTTTTAGGAGTTGGGAAATATAAACTTTTTAAGAAGAAAATTTAGGATATCTCGGAGATGCTTACACTCAAAACTCTAATTTCACGATGACTCTTCTTCTTTTTATTTTTCTTAACCCTACATACAGCCTTCTGGATCGAATTACATATTCGCACCATAATGGCATGACGCAACAGAAGCGGAACAAGAGACGTCTCTTGGAAATCGAAGATAGTGAAACGCGTGCGTCACAGTCATACTCCAAATTTCTATTCCTACTCTTCAGTCTTACTCACAATCAAGTAAAACTATTGCGTCGGCATGAACTAACACCACTTCCTTCCCCCCTTATTGTGCTGCTTATTAAGCTGAAAGAAACATCGACCTACATGGTAGATGAATTTCTTCGCTGCACAGGTGCATATATCCTATTATATTCTAGGGAAATTCTCGGCGGATCCTGAACTACTGATTTGATCTGTAATCTGTGGAGAGAAAATAGTATTGGCTGGTAAAAGAGCAGTAGGTTGATCGAATTGTGACAATTCAACGGATTCTGACGAGTGATTCTGCAACCTGATAGCAGGGGCAGCCCCAGCTTATTACTCCTTAGAGTTCCGATGCTCGGTTTCGCACAACACAGGAAAGGGGAGAGAAGAGCGCATACCTGGCGCGTGCTCGTCGACGGCGAAGACCCGGCGAAGGGACCGACGATGCTACTAGACCAGCAGCAGCGCACCTGGCGTAGGGCAGCGGCGGCGGTCGCCGAGTTGCGGGAGGGAGAGAGCGCGAGCGAGCACGCAGGGTGAACGGGGAACGGGAGAAGAAAAGGCAACAACTCTGGTGCTGTTTGGAAGGACCCTAGACAGAAATCTGTGTGGGTACACATCAGGAGTAGTAAGTAAATTGACCCATTTTTATTTTCGCGACATATCATGTGCAAATCAATCAACATATGTAAACTTAAAAAACTATAAATCAGAACCCCTGGATACTGATCCAACGGATGGGGTGAGGGGGCTTAAGCGTAAAAAAAAAGGACGACGGGTGAGGGGCTTAAGCGCAAAAAAATCCCACCTCTCACCCCATTTATTGGATCAACATCTAGTGGTCTTGATTGGTAATTTTCAAGTTTGCACAGGTTAATTGGTTTGCACCTGATATGTTGCCTTTATTTTCTGGATGGAAGAAAACATTTCGGTACCTCTATAACCATTATGGATTTTTTTAGCCTGGACTCCTACTACAACCATTCTGGATTTTATTAAAATAACAATATACTTCATTCATAAAAAAACTATTCTCACTTCTAAAAAAATCAAACAAATTTAAGTTTGATAAAATCTATATAAAAGATACTGACATTTATGATACTGAATAAGTATAATATCACTAATTATGAAATATATAAACTTATATTATTTTATATAGAGTTGATCTGGTTTAAAAGGTTGTTATATGATATATTTGTATATAATTTTACCCGCATCCACCTGCTCAACGGCCTGATCGTGAAAAAAAAAACAAATCGACGATTGAATTAATATATACTGCGAAAATGTAAGTGTTTAACTAAATAACGAAGGATATTCATGCAATTACATTTTCTTTTTTAAACAAATTAGGTGTTTATATAGTTGCTACAGTGTCAGCATATAAAAGAATGAATAATAATTAGAATTGTTGACTCTTCACGGAAAAAGAGAAGAAAATAACTATATGTACCACTGACTTCATTATCTAAAAATGTACCACTGACTTGGAGGGTCTTATGCGCATATGCATGGAGTTTGGTTTAAGAAATTACTGTAACGCATTGTATCCATCCACTAATCTTTTACGATTATGCTTAAATATATGCTCGTGAAGGATGAGTCCATTTAACAGCCCAAACACTTATTGCCCAAACATGCTATAAATTGTTCAAAGGATCATATTTATATCATGTTTCTACATACGAAGATGGCGAGGAACATACAATGCTAAGGTAGATATAGCATTGCACGAATGGAAAAGGGGGAAAATCAACACATTTCTAGTGTCGGGGCAGTGGACTGAGCGGATAGGGGGAGGGGGACACGAGACCTATTTTGAAAGTTATATGGGTCAATGAGCATAGAGAATGGATAATATCCATGCTTAAACCTTATACTAATGATCAATCAGCATGGCTTTTGTTTTCGCTTGCACTTTTTCCACTAATTCATGTTTCTTTTCCCACAACGAGGAATCACTGTCTTTGCTATGAAAGGAGAGGACATGGAATTTAAGATTCTATATAATTTGGAAGACAATCATAAACATCAATCCATAAAAGGAAGATTAGCAGTGCAGATGTTCTACAGTTCCAACTGTTCTGTCCACTCCAAAGCAACTATGCACACGCTTGCGTAATGATCGAGCACATCCACCTTTTTTCCCCTTTATCTATCTATCAATTCATTTTTCATGGACATTCGCTTTGAGTTTCACAAAAGCAACCAACAAAAGGTTGGACCTTTTTGTTTCCAAATATTCGCCATGCTTCTTGTACCTTATCTTTTGTTGCACACGCTTGTAGGGTATCCATGTGGAGGGAAGATAATGGCATAGGTGGTTGGTACTACCACATCAGGCAGAATGAGAAAATGGAGTGCGGCTCGGGAAGAGGAATCCAACAAATGTGGTTGGTACTACCACATCAAGAGTGCGGCTCCATGTGGTCAACCGTGGAAAAACACAATGGCCACACCGGCCATTCTAGGGGTGTCTGTCACCACACCGCCCAGATCGTCTATATCTACATTCTTAATAAGAAATAAATGACATAGGGAGGCAAACCTTGTATTGCATGTCCTTCTGCACTCTTTCTTGGGAATAAAATATTGTGAGAAGATGAAGAATATTGATGTGATATTCCATATACCAAGCACAGGCTCGAGAGCGGAAATATTAAGCACAAAAACATGTAAGAACATCTCTAGTAGTTCAAAATATATATAAAAAAACAATCGAGAAAGAAAAGTTAGGAGCACATTTGTTGGATTCCTCTAATCGTTTTTAAAATCTCGCTTTTTAAACAAACAAGGCAATTTTGTATCAAGAATCTTAAATTATTCCTAAATCACCCAAACCACTTTTATACTTTATTTCTCTCTTATACATTTGCACTGAGAATCCTGTTCTTACTCTATGTGATACTCGAATTTGGATTCAGCTTTGAACAATCCAATGTAATTCGTATCCATATTTATTTCTCTCTCGTACATTTGCATTGGAATCCCTGTTCTTACTCTATATGATATTCGAATTTGAATTCAGCTTTGAAAGATCCAATCTAGTTCATATCCATATTTGAGGATATTTAATTCCATATTGTATTTGTTCTAAAATATGAATATAAGTGTGGGAAGTGTGTGCTACCAATTTGACGGCTAGGAACGATATTAAGGGCATTGGTGCCTACTGATGATTGTCCGTCTCCATTGGGAAGTGGTGCTGGAGCTGACCAGCACAATAGTGTAGTTGTCCACGAGAGCTAAAGTCGAGCAAAAAAAGAAAAGTTTGAGAAATGAACCGCACACTTTAATAGTTAATGAGTGAAATTGAGCCCAAAGAGCGAAGTTTGAGGATTGAAACTATTACTTTTAAAATATATTCCATAATTAATCTATAATACTTATTATACATCATATATATTAGTATTTCTATATATATATATATATTTGGTTATACTTAAGATTGATGGACACCTCGAGAATAGAGAATTTCATCTTTTTTTTTTAGCGCGGAGGCAGTAATTCAGGAATGAAATTGAGTCCAAAGGGCAAAATTTGAGGATCGAAATGGTCACTTTGATAATTTAAGATGATGTTAAACTAAAAATAAAATTCAAGAATTGAAATGACCATTTTACAAATTCAAACAAAAAAATTGAGTGCGCTAGTCTAGTATCCTCCGGCACCCGCTCCATCTCGCGCGGCGAATTGCATTATCCTCGCCGCCGCCGGTCTGTTTCTGCCGTTCTTGGAAAGAAACAATCTCAGTTCATGCGTTTCATATGCCGAAAAAAAGGAGAGGCCCAGAAACATGCGGCCCAGTCACAAGATCCTAACGACCCTCACGGCCCAGCGCCCGCATCCGCCGCGTATAACCCCATTCCGTTACAACGCGTGTCGCGATCCAACGGTTCTCCAGCGCGCTGTCCGCGCAATAAAGCGCCGGCGCCTCCTCTCGCGTGGCCTCCCGAAGCTTCCAGACTCGATTGGACGGATCGGAGCAGCACTCCTCCACGGCTCCACCTCCAGCCCTGACTGATCCGGCCTCTCTTGAGGTAAGCGTGGCTGTGAACTGTGATCCTTCCTCGCAGATTGCTTTTTTGCTGTTTTTTTCGATGGAGGCGCGGATTAGTCGTGAACTGTAGCTAGTAGCTGCTTTTGGAGGATGGATCGTTCGTTATGCTCAACCCTAATCCTTTTTACTGGTCATCGGTATGTCATTTTGTTTGTTTAGGCTATGATCTAAGTGGTGCATGATGGTAGGTACTAGGTAGATGACTCTCTTCTGCTATTGTTAAATTCAGGGCATTTCGCTAGTTTTTTCACAGTTTGCACGTGAATTCGTGGTTGGTTTTGTTCTGTGTGATTACTCTGAATATGCGTGTCCTTGATGAATCTATTTGTGTTGCTATTTGGTTTTGTGGCGGTAGTCTGCTGTGATGCACCCATTATTTCGCGATTAATCCTATTTAGGATTCTATAGTCTCGATTGATTGAGAATAGGCAGTGAACCGATTCCATTTGCGATTGATTCAGAATAGGCAGTGAACCCATTCCATTTGCTATTTCACTATATCTAGGATTATGTGGATTCGATGCGAAGTCCCAAAGGGTCCCTTTTAGGGAGGGAATGATGAGATGTTGGAACTTGGAAGTTCACAAGTTTGTTCCTTTCTTAAAGGCTGGGTAGACTGCCCCTTGTCTTTTGTAATGTCCTTTTCAGATGTCTTCTTTGTGCATGTACTGTTTCATTAATTAGGGAGTTACTAATGTCTATATTTAACTATAGTGTCTCTGCTTATATTATTGGTTAATCCTAGATCAATATGAGAAGGGGCTACAGTTACAGTCCTTCACCACCAAGGGGCTACAGGAGAAGGGAGCGCAGCCCAAGTCCCCGTGATTATTATGGTGGCCGTGGTAGGGATCTCCCAACCAGTCTTCTGGTCAGGAATCTCCGTCGGGACTGCAGGTAAAGATTTGTCAAACACTCACTTTCTCCTGCAATTGCAGCTACACTACTCGTAGGTGTGCTGGATGACAAAGTAATTTGTTATCACTTATTCAAATTCAATTTGGTGCTATGCATCTTCAGGACCTAATCGGAGGGCAAATCTGTATGGCTATCATTTATATTTATATTTGTTTAAGCATGCCAAACATATGGTTTTGTAAACCTATCCAATGACAAAAAGGAAAAGGGAAATCAATAACCTTAGCTTGGTGATACTAGGATAAATTATGTAACACCGAAGTTATTTCTATGAAATGCAATTCTAGCTCTTTATTGAATGTGATATATGGTGATATAGATTCAAAGACATATATCCGTTTGATTTGTATGTCCGGTTTTCCTCCAAATGGTCCATGCATATACATATGCAATTTTGCTGGTAGTCGAGTAGAAGTTTGCTTTAGATGCATCCATGAAAAAAGAATGTATATTACCTGAAACCTCAATGGATTCTATCTATTTATTCTCTTTGTGCCTTTTGTACCCCTTATTTTTTTCTTATGGTTCTCATGCACCTGCTCAAGCCATCATACTGTGGTGTCGCCACTGAGACTTCCTTATTCCCTGTGTTTTTGTCACCTCTAACACACAGTTCTCTGAATGCAGGCCAGAAGACCTCCGTCGCCCATTTGGACAGTTTGGTCGACTTAAAGATATATATCTTCCAAGAGATTATTACACTGGGTAAGGCACGTAGCTAGACTATGTGGCATTGCAAACTGTTGCGACCCTAAATGGTATTGGCATAGAACATGATTTCGAAGATTATTGCTTTTTCCCACCTCTTGAAGTAACGTGAAAATAATTTTTTGAAGACACAAGCCTAAAAGATTACTGTTGAAGAGAAGGAAGAAATAGAGAATTTCAATTAAGTGATCTGCAACTTAAAAGAGTGCTCAGTACTGTTCAAGAGATGGGAAGAATTAGAGTTACAAGTTTAAGAGATACTCACATCATGAAGAGTTTCAAGTCTGTATTTAAACTCTCATGAGTGCAAGGTCAGCAGCAAATTAAACTAGTGCACTTTGCACCTGTGTAACTTATTCTTGTCTTCATCTCTGTCAGCAGCCATGTGGAGATCCATAGTTTTACCAGTTTGATATCTGTGTGCCGTGAAATACTTGTACCATCTTTCTTGGAACATAACCTTTTTATCTTTGGACGAAGAATACATATCTTTAAGAACTCACAAATATTTTTCTTCTGTGCACTACAGGGAGCCCCGAGGGTTTGGGTTTGTCCAGTATTATGATCCTGATGCTGCTGCTGATGCAAAGTACTATATGGATGGGCAGGTAGTTCTTGGTAGGCAAATAACAGTTGTTTTTGCAGAGGAAAACAGGAAGAAGCCTCAAGAGATGAGAGCTAGGGACAGAGTCAGGTTTGTTGGCTCTTCTCAGTGCGACTACCTTGCCACTGGCACACTGCCTCTCTATTCATTCCTTTGTTTTTGCTGCATATTGCAGGGGTCATTCTTATGATCGGAGGTATTCTCGCTCTAGGTCCCCTCGTTATTATAGGGGCCGCTCTCCTTCACGCAGCCGAAGCTACTCGAGGTTTGTTTGTGCCTTGCATCTTGATCTTACTTTTTTCTCTGCATAGCGAGCACCCATTTCTCAAAGATGCAATCAAATCTGTTGGATTGGTAGGTCTCTTTCACCTCAGGATCCAAAACACAGACTTAGAGAGAGGTCCTACTCCGGCTCACCTGTGGACAGCAGATCAAGAAGTGGGAGCCCTTATGAGGATGGATATCGCAGATCGTCTCGAAGAGAGAGGTCTGTTTCTGTCAGCGGATGAAGCAGTTAAACGATCTAGAGCTACTGCTGTGAATCTACGCATGGTGGCCTACTTGCTCTGTCTTTCTGAACCATATGTATTCTGTCTAGATTATCATTCCCAGCACCAGAGAAGTATCGTGAGACTGTTTGCTGTACTTATTAGTCTTGAGGATACACAACGGGGGTCACCAATTCTCAGTAGATGGACTATGACCACTAGCTGCGCCAGGGCCACTGCTTCGTGTATTTATAGGCAGCTTTGTGGTATGAATAAAATTGGTTGGTTTTTGTTTTTTTTAGCCTCGACTACTAGTGTATAAGGCGTAGTATCTGTACTCTATACAACACACTCACACCACCACACACACGTATACTCCTAGAAGCTACAACCTATACACTTTAAATGTCTTTCTTGAGATCACTGAAGCCACACGAGCCTCATAGACAACGGACACGTCGTAGTCCTATTATAGCGTCACGCGAGTGTCCAGGACCTGCACGAAACAAATATGGGGAGAAACCCCCGGTGCCACACCTGGCCGATCCACAACTAGGATTCGAACGCGGGTGGGTGGCCTCCACGACGGAAGCGCACATCGCTGCGCTACAAGCGCGTTGGCAAAATTGGTTGGGTTGTGAAAGCTAAGTGGTAAGCTTTTTTTTTATGGATCACTGAGCTGTGGCTATGGCAGGGATACGATTTTTTTTCTTTTTTGACGAACAGTTTGGCAACCCTGCATCATATTAAGCAGATATGAAGCGCAGGTTGGCTAAATCCTATTGAGCATTTCGTCAAATATGTGCAATAGATGATGGATGACCATGTGCTTGGTGGCATTTAAAGAGAGGAAATTGCTCAATTTCTGTATGGGAATCGGGTATCGTGGAAAAACCCTTGGACAGCTAATGTTAGTACAAGATATTCAATATGAAATTCAAATACTGCCAATGCCAACATTGCTGGCGATTTCGAGTCTTTGTCAATGATGTCCTGCAAAGATGACAGGAGGGCAAAAGGTTTTCATTCAAAATGTCGCCAATGGAGAACTCTTTCTTGCACTAAAGTACTTTGTTGCCAGCTTATTTAAACCCTGATGGCAGTCACCAAATAATTTTCTGCATCCTATACTGGCCGATGTCAGATCACAAATTCTTTGTGAGTAGCACGGCCGCTGAGGTCGATGTGCTATGCTCTCCAGAAATCAGAAATGGAACCGTTACACGCATATCGGCCAGGCCTTCTGAAAAGAACTAGACACGTTTTGATGATTCATCAATAATGGAGGTTTTGATGATTCATCAGTAATGAAGACGGGGACTAGGGATTACTAGCACCCGGACGTCCGGAGCAGATGAGCATGTCCGGACGCCCCGCGCATGCTGCTGCCCCAGCCAGCCAGCCCGCCCATCCGCGTCTACCGCTGCTCTGTATCACTACTGCACGTGCACGTCTATCCCACGTCTACCTCGCCCCGCTTCGCACGCATACCCCGCTCCCGCCCACCTCGACCCGCCCCGTTCGTGCACCCCAGCTCGCCACTCATTCCCCCTGACCCCCTCCTCTCTCCGCGCGGGAGGGATCCGGGAGCCCGCATGAGGAAGAGCACGTCCACAGGACCCCAGGTACGCCGTGCGCCCCATCCATCGGCCCTCGGCTCACCGCGCCCTTTCCTCTAGCGCTCGGTGCGTGCCCCTATAACACTCTGAACATACCTTTGAAACACGAAACATTTACAACATGAAACACTTAATGCAACATAAGTCTGAAGCAGATAAAACATTTAGAACATACACTTGCAACATATCTGTGAAACATATGCAACATATAGATAAAACACTTGCAACATAAAAACACTTACTGCAACAAAAGAATAAAACAACTGAAATATTTGAAACATACTCTTGCATATGTGTGAAACATATGCAATATCCAGATCAAAATGCTTGCAGCATACGTTTGAAACAGATGAAACACTTTGAACAAACGTTTGCAACATGCCTCTGAAACACTTGCAGCATATGCAACATCCATATCTACTTTTGCAACATCCATATGAAACACTTGCAACATACCTTTGAAACATCTGAAACACTTGAAATATACGTTTGCAACATGCACTTTCAGCGCAACATCTCCTCGCTGCTTAGGAATGGAGCTCGCTAGTGGTGTGGAGCTCACTGCTCCGGTGGAGAAGGCCGCGACAGGTCCCGTGGAGAAGGCTGTAGCGGGTCTGCGCGCTGGAGAAGCCCACGGCAGGCGGGGAGTGCGGTGGAGAGGGAGGAAGACGGGCTGCCATGCTCTGGCGTGGAGGGGATGCCGGCCGGCGGAGCGAGGCACGATGGAAAGGGAGGCGCGGTGGAGAGGCGGCGTGGCGGAGTGTGGTCACAGAGAGCTGTCGCGGTGCTTGGCGGTGAGGTGAGTTTTTTCTTTATTTTTTAAGAACGATTGCAGGCGAGTGGATGAGCAGATAAGATAAGGTTGTTGGGTTGCGTCATGGCCCACCATCGGCACCGTTCGAGTGGACAGACGCCCTATACCCAGTATTACCGATGTGCTATGCTCTCCAGAATTCAGAAATGGAATCGTTACGCTCATATCGGTCAGGCATTCTGAAAAGAACTAGAAAGGTTTTGATGATTCATCAGTAATGGAGACGGGGACTATTGAATTTCTCGCTCGATTTTCCCTAGTCATGACTTGAGCAATGAAAATAGTTTGGACTACAGTCTAAAATTATTAAAACTATTTTGTTGAGCGAGGTATTTTAGTATTTGTTAAAAAGTGAAAAAAGCACTCACACAAATGAAATAAACGTGAACGAGACTCCATGTGTTTTTTTATAAAAACTGGAACAACAGATATAGGCGTTATGCAAAAGATCCATGCAGATAAGACCACGTACTGAATTTATTAAGTCATGAAGACTGAGAGTTGAATGTGCAGATAAGACCCAATTAACACAGGCAATGAAAATCCAAATTCAACAAATTTACAATCACCCAGAAAGATTCAGATGAACTGAAAGATATATCAACCGTGAATCGTATGCTGGGACGCCAGATAATGCTGCAGAACCGCGGAACTTGATAATTTGCTAAGTACTGAGCACAGGCAGCAGAAGCTGCATCTTCCCAAGATGGAAGAAACAAAAGCATGCCAGTGTCGTAAGCTGCCTAAAATAGTACCAAACCAAGCAAATCGAAACATTTTAACATCCCAGGTCGCTATGTTATTGCCAAAATCCCCAGAAAAATTGTTCATGTCGTCTATGTTGGCTGAATTGGCTAGAGAGAAAAACACTATAAAACAAAATGAATAAAAAGGTAAGCCAAACGGGGCCTATATGAATAAAAAGAACAGTAGAACCAGGCCCTGTTTTGTCCTGAGACTCCAGGTCAGTTCTTAGCAGTGAGGGCATTCTTTTCCTCGATCCTAGATCGGTTGTCCAACTTGACAAAACGCTTCAGGTCTTCATAAGGGAGTGTCTTGGGATCTTTCCTCCGCAGCTCACTTAGTACAGGACGTTTGTCGAGCAAGTGCCACAGCCAGTCAGGATACTCAGAGTCTGGTTGGATTTTTGGATCAGAACCCTCCTTGAGGATGTTTGCTCCAAACACTGTTGTACTTTTAAGCTCTTGGCTGAGAGCAGGAGTTTTGGCAGCATCAGCCCCTCCACCCTTTCCACCCTTCTTTGCCTTGCTTGCAATTGCAAGGCTTCTACTCTCTACCAATTGAGCGGCATGCCTTGGAACAACACCATGCTTTAAGCCTCTTGTCCAAGACATCGCCATTCCTGGGTTCAAGTTTTTCACTGCATATGCACATCATGAGAATGAGACCAGATTGTAGAACTAGTGAAATCAGGGAAATATCGGTGCATGTTATAGAGGTTCAGAATCAGCAAGCAAAGAATATATCTGAATGGAAGATCATTCAAATACACTGATGGACAAGCACCTTCAAAATATGAGCATCTCGTGAAAGGTCCAAGGCCTTCCTATTGTAGCTTGCTGCTGCTATTTGGTTTTCATAATTTAGGGTATTACAGCTCTGAAAGCTAATACATGCATTATTTAAGGACTTAAGGTATATCATTCCCTTTTTCTTAAGATGTTTGCTACATCTTTATATTGAGAAACATTGTTAATGCCATCGTATACTTTCACCTGTTGTTCTAGTGAATAACAGAATAATGGTATGTCCCAGAATAGGTCCCATTCTTCAAGACAAATAAGGCCAGGTTTGGGCAGAAGGTGAAATTTAGCAGTGCCCAAAGAAGATTGTCATGATTCGCCCCCCCCCCCCCCAAGACATGACATCCTCACAGGTTTCACAACAATTCTAGTGCTAGTTGGTTTAGGAAAATAGAAGTGCCTAATAAGCTTGCAAAATGAAACAAAAGGGTAGTGCTACGGGAGAAATTTCAAAGTTCCAGAGTCTGAATCCTAGCAGGCAGGAAGCCAAGACAAAACAGCACATATTTGTAGCATGAATAACGAACCCTTGCACGGCAATCGGTACTAAGAACTCAATCAGGGGTCATATAACATTTCACAAATAGGCACCGTAATATGTAGCCATGTAACTCACATACAGGTTCAGTAAACAGCAAGAAGGGTGTAACAAACATTCATATGCACACCCGATAGTTTTCTAAAAAAACAAAAACGAATCGAAGCAAGACATAACACATGCACACTACACTTTGTAACTAGACCAGATCCGAGTACAAATAGCTTAGGTTAGGGTTTGGGTGCTCGGCTTCGCAGTGCAGGACCGGAAGAGAAGGGGCGGGCGTACCTGATGGTGGGCGGTCGTCGCCGGCAAAGGACCCGAAGACGGAGACCTAGGCACCTGCCGTAGGGCGGCGGCGGCGGCAGTCGCCAAGCCGTCGGCACGAGAGAGAGAGAGAGAGAGAGAGAGAGCGCACGCCACGCGACGGCCGAGGGGAACGGGAGAACGAAAGGAAAGGCCGCAGGGTAAACGCAGCCCAGGCTCCGGCCGGACCGACACTTTTGAAGCCCAGGATCTTGGCCAGTTCTCGGCCCAGGATAAACTGGATCTGCCTGGCGGTCGCTTGGTTGGGCTCCAGGCTCGAGGCCAGTCCAGCGACTCCTCCGGTCCAACAGCCTGTGCTGGTGCTGGCCTCCTGCTGCGAGCAAAAAAGAGGAGAGCTCCGCGCCCGTACCGCCGTACGCGCACGTCTCGTTCACAGCGATCGACGCGCACTACTCTGGTTCCTGGGTGGGAAATCAGAAACACCCAGCGGCCCGTCGCCCCGTCCGTCGTGCTAAACAACAAGTTGCCGAGTGCCGTTGACAAGCTGGCGAAAAGCAGCGGCCGATCGAGTTGGGCGCGCGGCAGTTCGCCGCGGTCGGCAGCGCGCGCGGGCGTGGCGGCGTGAACGAGCCGCACATGACGCGATCGACCGGACCGACGACCACGCACAGCCAGCCAAGCCTGGCGAGGGGCAACCATGCGTGCAACAGCGATGACCCGCGCGCCGCAACCACATGGCACATGAGCACTCCGCCACGGATTATCATATACTGTTTGGCTGATGTTTCTACGACTGATAAGCCGGCTGATTCTGTTTTGCTGTGAGAGAAAAACAGTGTACCATGCAGCGCCGATCCTATGATTTTGAGGGCCCTCTGGCCAACTCGTAGCGACGGCCCCTCTAGACCATAAAATTTTAGAATATATAGGCTAATTTTATTTTATAGGGAAAGCAAATCCAATAATATATTTTTAATTTAATATGTCTGATAATTATTGAGAGCGAGAAACAACGTAGACTAAAAGAGCAATATATTTGTACTTCTAAGATGTTTCCAGTCTCTCAATCCATCGTGTGCTACAAACTTTTGTTCTGGTCTGATTTGAATAATTTGCAGCAAAAACAAAAAACTTTGTCCACATGTTTAGAGTAAACCAACCATTTTCTATCAACCACGTCACCATTGCTTAACTTTTTGGAGCAGTAAGCATATAAAAAATGTCTATTGTGAGCATCTATATGGAACTCAAGATTCAATTCTCTCACTGGTCCTTTTTCAATCAAAATATCTCTACCCTTATTATCAAGATTCTCCCAAGTTCTGGGATCAAAGACATCATGAATAGAAGGTTGCACATCATCAATTGAATTTTCAGGTTGAGAGGAAGGCTGTAAATTTTCATTCTCTATAGCATCAACTTGTTCACTTAAATTATCATTAACTTGTTGTTGCTCTTCTTCTTGATTATCAGGTGCATCTATAGGGTTGTCATCACACACAGCACTACTTGAAGCTGAAAAAAACTTATCTAAAGCACATTGTTGTGACTGAACAAACTGTTCTTCTTGTCTTTTCCGTTTTCTTTTCACAGCCCCTGACAAATGTTTCTTAGGTAACATTTTAAAATTCTTACACTTGACCCTAAATTATAAGAAAAAACATGACTATATGAGTACAAAGTACTAGACAAAATTTAAACAAAGAAAAAAACCCTAGAACCTAGACAATTTAGACATAAACTAATTCAGAACCAAAATTCACAAATAAAAAAGGGCAGAAGGCAATAACCAAGATAAATCTTCAGATGTCGCCGACTCGTCGTCCTGGTCGAGCCCTGCCTCGGGCCCTCGGCTGTCTTATCGCGTGGTGATCGGCCATCGGCACTGTGTCAACGATTCAGGCGCAGGCGGCAGGCCTTCATCAAGCTTCGTATAAAGAAATCAGCCGGCCGGGAAGAATAATGCAACATACAGTAGATTGCAATTTTAGCCCACCGTCGTATGGCAGATCAGTTTGCTTGTGCTATTCCTTATCATCTAATCTATGCTCGTCAACTTACATTTGGCAGTAGCGATCGCTGATTCCGTGATTCGCTGTCACGCAGTGCCGACTGCAGCGTTGGCGGCGGCTCGGCTCCTGAGTCCTGATCGCTTAAAGCCTGAAAAGGAAGACAAAGAGACCGACGGCGACGGGCTCTGATTCTCTGAAAAGAAACACCAGCGCACTGACCACTAAGAGGCCGACGGGCGACGGGCTGTGCGGCGCAGCGGCGCTGATGGGCTGTGCAGCGCGCTGTGCGGCGCTGATGGGCTGCTGGCCTGCTGGCTGCTGCATTAATCCCGCTTGGGCCCTCATCCCGCATGGGCCCCCGGCCATCGCACCTTCTGCCCCCCTTAGAGCCGGCACTGGTACCATGACTGATAAGTCCAAACGAACCTGGCTCGATCACACTGCTAGCTAGCAACTGCTAGCGGTAGTCGTTGTACCCCGTACCCCTGCGCCTACGGTACGGTCTAGTGGCGGTCTCGTGTCGGAGGCACGGCACACGGATCACGGGCCGGTGAGATGGGATTCTTTCCTTGTGCGACTTTGGCAGCTTGAACATTTGCAGCGACGAGGAGTTCGGCAGCAGCCGAAGAAAACTAACATATGTTCAAGTCTCCCGCCGCACCATGGATCGGAGTACGGAGCAACAGCAACACACACTAGGCAGTAGGCACTACTACGCGCGCGACTTGTTTACAGCGAGGTTTGAATTTGACCTCGGATCGATCGATCACGTCTACCGTACCCCGCGCTTTTGTACTATTTTTAAATCAGGCCAGCTCAACAGTGAGGCCGAGTAGTCACCAGTCAGCAATCACCCCTCCTCACCCCCAAGTCGTAGGTCTCCTTCACACACCAGGGTGGCGCCTGACGTAGACTCTGCACTGCTCGCTACTCCAGTAGCAATAGCTAGCACTAGCCACACCAACCGAACCTTTTCTCCATGTCTGCGGATGAAGGAAATCACATACGCGTGTTTGACCTCGTTCGTTCGCTCCGGCGGCAAAGTGTGGCGCCGGATAGGAATGAGAAGGACCGATCGATGCTGGCCGGTCAATTCGGTTCTAGGTGCAGCACTGCCATCCATCTGTCCACGCCCCTGACGCACGCAGCGAGCCAGCGAGACGAGACGACCGACCCATCCATCCATCCACCCGTCCGTGAGTCCGTCCATCGATATTATACCAGCACCACTAGCGCGCGCGCTCGCGTCGCCGTCGCACGGTCGCTTCATCATGCGCCGCGGGGGAGATCCCATTTCGTTCGTTCGTCTCGCGATTCGGGACGGGACCGGGACTGCGCGCGCTAGCTCTTGACTCGCCACGCACGGAGGAATATGCGGTGGTAGTTTCACGTCACATTGCGCGCGCCGCGCCGCCTCCGCGTGCGCGTACGTGATGGAGCGTCGATCTGCGGCGCGCGGGGCCGGGCGGGGCGGTGCACTGCTCGTCGGTGACGCCGACGTCGTCCCCTGCCTCCATCCCTGCACTTTTTGTTCTAGGTGCCAGAGAGGCGAGGACGACGGGCGGGCCGGGCGTCGTACGCCGGCGCACCAAACTATTAGGCGTCGGCTTAAAGCTAGGCAGTCGATCGATCCTCGGCACCGTCCTCAGCTCACTGGGCTTTTCGTCGTCTCACTGATGCTTGGCGCGGAGGTGCGCGACGTCGCGGGTGTCCACTGGCCGAGATCGCGTTTGGTGGGCACTTGGACCCCGTCGACCCGTCCCCTCGCCACTTCGCTTGGGAGTTGATACGACGGGTGTAAAGCGCCGATCCAGTGGACCTCAGAGTGAAGGATCATGCCCGGACAGGGCAGCAAGAAACAGACACAAAATTTCAACCATTCTACTGTGGACTGTGGTGGAAGAAGTACCCTGCCTGTTTTCTTTTTTTAAAAAAAACTGTGCAGGCCGTACAATATAATCACTATTTTTACATTTTTAGATGTTCACAAAAAAATTACA